TCAATGCACCTTTTTCTTTTCTTTTAATTTGTTGTTTTGATGTCTTTAGGTTGACGAGAAGGGAGGTTTAGCTAAGCAACTCTTCGACATTGCTTTTAAGAGACGTTTGGCAGCTATAGAAGGAAGTTGGTTTGGGGCATGGGGCTTTGAGGCACGACTATGGGATATAATCATCTTTACACAGATTCGCTCTGTTCTCGGAGGAAAAATCAGATTCATGCTCTGTGGTGGAGCTCCTTTATCTGGTGACACGCAAAGATTTATTAATATCTGCATGGGGTAATTTTTCTGATCCTCCTGTCCCAGACATAACCACATCTATACTTTCCCCTCTATGGAAAAAAGAAAAGGAGAAGAAAAAGTTATCCTATCAGTGTGCTAATGTCACTGCATAGTGCGTACATAAATGATGCCATTCATGTTATTCTGCCCAAGTTTCTCCTGTATTCCTGTTTCATCATTATCATGCATCTGTATTTTATACAAAATGTTGCAGTGCTCCCATTGGTCAAGGATATGGGCTTACAGAAACTTTTGCTGGAGCTGCTTTCTCGGAGTGGGACGACTCTTCTGTTGGACGTGTTGGACCTCCTCTTCCTTGTTGCTACATCAAGGTGTGCTTAGTAACATCTGCCTAGGAAACAAATGGAATCGATAAGTGGATATCATTGGTCAACTTATTTCTTTTAAGAGGTTTTTGGTTAAATATTCAAAATTTAATAGTCTGATTATGTCATCTCAGACTTTGAAGTCACACATAGCTTTGTATTGTCATCTGGTTCTCAATTGTCAAGTAAATTATTCTGTGAGTTTTATTCTCCTTGATTCACTGAATAATGGTGCCACTATGCAACAAAATTGATCTCTACTAGGAATCACGTTGTGGTTCTATGTCTTCCATATTGTAGGAAATTTAGAATGCAGTTTTAGCTTAGCAGTTAGTATTGAACACAATTCGAGGTTCTAGACTCTGGGAAAAGGATGAGGAACTGGGGTGCAGTGATTTGAAATTAGCTTGTGCATATCAAGAGATTCAAATAACACGGAACCAAATTTTTGCTTGCAGTTTCTGTGCTAGACGTATATTATAAATGCAATGTCAAGCTGTAGGTCTAATTTGTGGAAACATTGTCAAGTTCCATTTCTTCATTCTAATTTTTAAATATCATATGGCTGACACATTAGACACTTTAGAATCTTAGCTTCTTGCACGTGCAGAACTCTGTTTAAGTTCTCGTCACTAATTAGGGTTTTCGTTATCAAGAGCATGAGATTGATGGGAGGGGATTTTTCCTGAAAGTTACTTATAGATCCCATGCATTAATTGAAAAAATGTGGTGGGGAATGCTTGACCTTCTGGCCAAGTCTCAACAAGATATGTTGGTTTGTTTGATCAAGATACAAGACACTGTCAAATTTTGTAACTTAAGCATTTGGGACCAGCGAGTTCTCCAATTAATGCCTTTGAGAATTATGATTATTAGATCTGAGGAGGTTCGTAGTACATAGGGATTGTCTTGCACCCTGGTGGTGTATATGTTAAACAAGGATACCTGGGCTTAGAGGCTAAATATTATGACAAACCAATTTGTTTGTCATTAGATGTTTGGGATCATTTGGTTGATGTCCAAGGCTCCACGAGGCATATTATATCTGAGTAGCAACATCGGGATCTTGAATTGTTACCCATGATAAGATATTTGTCATGACTTTATTTACTATTACACTTTCAAAGTTATTTTTGGGGGGGGGGGCATTTTTGCTTCTTTGTCCTGGACAAAGTTGTATTGACACTGGGGAATCAGAGTTTTGATGTCCTGAGGTTTAACTGAGTTGTGCATTATCATCTTAACCATATGCTTAATTGCCTATCCATACTTAGTTTAAGATCCTTTAGTTGATGTGGTAGTTATGGTCGATATTACTGTAGTTCTTTGTTCATATCATATCCAGAGTAGATAACTCTGCATGTATATGTTATTCTGTGATAGATAACAAGGAATTGTTACTGAGTTTTGCAACTTTATTTTTTGTTGATGTTGCACTTTGATGTTTCAACTCTCAGACTTTTCCTTTCTCACGAGAAATAAACTCTTAAGATGCCATTTGCATATCCTTGATGAGACTGTTATTTGATTAGTATCTTGAAAACTAGAACAAACAGTATGCTGAATGTACACACACATACATGCACGTAGACATGAAGTCTTAATACTTAGCATACACAGTTTGCAGTATGGTTTTGTGTATGTAAAAGTGTTGTGTGTTTTTACACTGCAAATATTTAAAGTTTCTTTCAGTAGCAGTACTCAAATGTAAATCACAGATCATCCTGGTTTACAATCTTTTACTTTGATCAAAACTGTTTTAATTCCTAAAAATGAAGTTAGCCCCCTCTCCTATTTTACCCCATCTCCTTGGGAAAATTGGAAGTTTTGGAGAAGAAAAGAGTTGACAAAAACAAAATAGATGCGCCAGATATGTTACTTCCATTTTTTTGACTTTTACGTACTTTATTCTCGTCCACTTGAGAATTATGCGTGGTTGCTGGTTCATCAACCACTTTTTTATTGACTGACTATCATGTTTTCATGCAGCTTGTTTCTTGGGAAGAAGGTGGTTACACAACGTATGACAAACCAATGCCACGTGGAGAAGTAGTTATTGGCGGATGCAGTGTAACTTCTGGTTACTTTAAAAATGAAGCCAAGACGAATGAAGTGTACAAGGTACCTAGTTTTCTGGTTATCTGTACAATTGCAAGTGGAAAGTTTTATCTTGCAATTCTAGTTCATTTTGCTATTTGACTCGACAATGCAGGTTGATGAAAAGGGCATGCGGTGGTTTTACACTGGTGACATTGGAAGGTTTCACCCTGATGGATGCCTTGAGATTATCGACAGAAAGAAAGATATCATCAAACTCCAGCATGGGGAGTACATCTCTCTAGGGAAGGTGTGAAATCCTCTCTATTGCTTTTTCCAGAAAAGGAATCAAAACCTGTTTTTCTCCTGTTTACCTTAATGACCTTTCAAACACTGGTACAGGGGTGTGTCCTCTATTTAGATATATGTATGTATATCTTAGTGTTGCACAGGGGAAAAAAGCATTTAAGAGGAAAACAGAAAATAGATGTCACAATTAGAACCAAATCCAACTCATGCAGTGATATTTGTTTCAACCATGATATAAACATTACACCCTCTTCACTCTCCTTCATTTTTCTTCTTGTGCTCATTAACTTTGAGGCGTCCAAAATTTCAAATGAAGTGTTGGGCACAGATCCCATAGCAGTACCAGTGTCGTGTCATGCCCAACATGGGTAGCCCTGTGAAGGATAAGAATTGATGTAGCAGGGATATGGACACATCTGGAAGAATTTAAGTCTGCTGTATAGTGACAATAATTGAGCAATTGCAGTTTCTGCTCTTTAGTGTTGTATTTGCTGATATGCATCAGTACTTTCTCAATTCAAGGGTTGTCTTTTCTGCCTTTTCTCTGTCTCTTCTTAATTTATATTTCTTTTGGAAGGGACAAAATGTATTGAAGCAAAACATGTATATTCATCAGCTTGTGCAATGCATTGCAGGTTGAGGCAGCACTTATCACAAGCAGTTATGTTGATAATATCATGGTATATGTTGATCCCTTCCATAATTATTGCGTAGCTCTTGTGGTTCCCTCACATCAGGCCCTCAAGAAATGGGCTGAAGATTCTGGCATTAGCCACGATAAATTTTCCGATTTGTGTAACAAAACTGAAGCTATCAATGAGGTCCAGAAATCACTTTCCAAGGTTTGTTCCCTCATTGCCTATTTAAAAGGTGTATCACTAAGGTGATATATTCGATACTCATTAAGATTGGGTCCTTGTGGGCTATATCTCGATTATGAAGGGTGTATCGAGTGACGAAGCTTTTTTTTTTTTTTTTTTTGAAAAGGTGACATTTATCTTGAAAGGGGATAGTTTTTGTGATCATTGACTTCACCTCTTTTAAGGAGATAATTTGCCTGAAAGGAACCCTTTTTTACCCTTTCTTTCACATAATGATTTCCATTTTTGTTCTTTGGAATCAACAAGGAACAGGTGAGAGTAAGTTGGGGTTCCAAATTATAGCATCTATTTATAACATTCTACTGCTATTCTTTATGTTCTACACGATCTAAACCCAAATGCACATTGTCATTTGGAGTTCAGAATGCTAAAGCTACATGTTCTAGGGTATTCAACATATTTCTGATGTTAGTCCAAATTTCAGGTAGCAAAGGAAGCAAAATTGGACAAATTCGAGATTCCTGCAAAGATCAAACTATTGCCAGATCCATGGACTCCGGAGTCTGGATTGGTTACTGCAGCTCTCAAATTAAAGAGGGAACAGTTGAAAGCTAAGTTTAAGGATGAGCTGGAAAAGTTATATGCTTGAAGAACTGTAGCCGTTGTACTTGCCAGTGCCTTGTAACTGTTCATGATACGAGTCATGTCAGTTTTTGGGCTCACATTGGAACATAACACGCAATGCCCATCACAAAATTTTATCTGAATTTTCTAATTCTATTTTGTCTGTTGTTCTGTTTCTTTTTTTTTTTTTTTTGTGTTTTTCTGGAAGGATCAGAGTGACAATTCAGTGAAAGATTCGAACTTGATCAATGTAGAAATAGCTACGTACCATGCTCATTTTGCAGAAAATGACAGCAGATACCAAATAACTAGTGCCTAAAATTCTCTGTAGCTAGGACGTTGAGTAAAACGTTATCAGTTGTTTGGTTAGCTAACTTGTAATCTTTGTATAATCTTTTAGTTCACCGAAAGCTAATCTTGTAACCTTGTATAATTTGAAAACCTGGTGCTTTTCGCCCATGAATTTCCAAAATCTTGTTTTTGATATCTGATGACTATATTCAAATTTTTTGTTTACCGATGCCATATGCTATAGGGTTAATTACCTAGCAGGGAAATTTAACATTGTAATTTACGTACTTTTGCGAATAACTTGCAAACAATAATGAGATATCCAATAAGTTTCATACTGACAATTGAAATTGTATTTTCCTCTACACTATTAAATGAGTTTCGTTTTCCTACACCTCCTCATTTCAGCTCACTGTTTATCTGACATACTTGTGTATCTTTCCCATCCATGGAATTCTACAAACCTCGAAAATTTAGTAGTATCATCTGTTCTTGCCCAATTAATTTTGAGTTCAAAGTTTAAATTTCCACAAAACAATTGAGGATTACAAAAACAAACCAAAAAAAAAAAAGAAAAAGAGAGAGAGAGAGTCAGAGCACCACCCGCTTCATGCATCACGAATGGTGGCTTCATGCATCACAAATGGAGCTTGACAGCTTCCGGTCTTAGGTTCTACAATAGTCTATCATAACAGCTTCTCACAAATTTTCCCAAAGGTCATCCATCATTTTTCTTCTGAAGTGCTTGAGCTTAGCAAAGCTGGCACAGCTAGCAGGGAAGGTCGTAGGATGAGATATAAAGCAGGACCAACTAATGGAATCAATGATAAGGGAAGCAGCCATAAACCTTTGTTATCCCTGCAGAGAGAATGGGGATCTAAATAATGTTTCTTCCTGGATGTCATAAATAAGCAAGTTCCTCTGTGTGCCCTCAGGAATAGAAGTGTTTTGATGCATCAAGCATGAATAATACGGAGGCTGACTGGATACTTACCATCTTCGAGCAGTCATATCATTGTAAACCCAGAATGGAGCAAATGTTGATAACAAAGCAAAGTCAATGCATGTAAGATGTATCTGCATTCCAGAAAACTGGCTCAGTTTCACAAATAGCAAAGGACTTAGGCTGCCTGCCACAGCCTACAAGATAAAAAACTTTTTAATGACCTAGTATCAGATTTCTCATTTTGTTCAATTGTACCACTCACTTTCCCTAAAGTTGGCCAAAGATATTTTAAGCAGCAGCAGATTCCATGCGAAAAAATCTTTCAGCGAGTTACTATAATAGTAACAGGTGTCCAGCTTCAACACTGAAATAAGCAACACTCCTAATTGATTGTAGCAAGGCCTCAAGGCTTTTAACTTACCAAGTGAATCTAAATTTGTCCCTTTGTTTCTCCTGTATTAATCGCCTCTTACTCCTTTTAGCCAACATAGAGAATAAAACACACTAAACACAGTACTCAGGTAATCCTGGTTCTAACTTGATGAATGAAGCCAAACTCTCAAATCATCAATAAGTCCAGAAAAAAGCATTACTTTTTATTTGGGAACTCTTATATACACCAGCATTCATGCGGAATACATGTAGGACCCATTATCACGAGAAAACTCTAAAATACAATGGATTTAATTTGTTCAAGAGAGATTTTCCTGCAGGTCCTGAAGAAAGGGTCCTCGCATTCAGCAAATGCAACCCCTTTGACCACACAATTGCTAAATGCAAGGTCAGTTACTTCATCCTCAAAAAAAAAAAAAAAAAAAAAAACTCCTTTGGTTAATGTCAGAGTGTTCTTGACTTACCATTCACCAAATGCAAAGAACCCCCTCATCCAAAAAACAACGCCAAAAATCAGTGTCTAGCTTGTGAGCATCTTTCACTATTTGTAAACCCAACAAGAAGCATAATACAGATGATTTGAAATAAGGTGATTGCAGCTACTAGATGATCAACATGGTCAGAATCTGTCATATACAGACATTAAAAAAAAAAGGCTTATTCATATTAATGTTTGCCACCCACTTAGGGTCATATACCTTTGCATTTGCCATTTTCTTCCAAGGTAAAAATACAAAAGAAGCAATAATGCAGCCTGGCCACATCCAAAAGTTGTACTGGTGGCAGAAAAAGGGTACACAATCAAAGTAGATATGGCCTGATAAGATTAAAAACCAAACATAGAATCTCTTGAAACTGCTAAGCTGTGAACACAGTTAATGACATGAATGAACCCAACTCTGCAAATCAAGTAAAAAGGCCATGCAAGTTCAAGTATATAAACACTCACAAATTTGCTTGCTCTGAAGTACTGGTAAAACTCCCTCCAAACAGCCCCATCAGATAAACCTGCATAAGCCATTAAACCTAACCCTGCAGCCAATGCAATCTGAGGCATAGTTAGTTAGATATCACTTTAAGAATAGGAGCAAACATGAAACAACTGACATCTAAGATATAAACTTCAATGTAAAACCAGCACGTCAAATCAAGATAATATATAAACCAGATGCTTAAGGAGTCCAAACAACAGACTCTTATCCACTAATTTCTATTTTTACTATAAAATGACCTACGAGTGTAACTTAAATTAATTATAGAACCACACCAAAATTTTCATCATTTCTAATTTGAACTTCACTAAATTTTTATTGAGAAGTAGAACCTGATTTTCTTAGGAAATTTTTTTTTTGACAGGAGTTGATAATTATTTGGATGCAACCAAAGGATTTGTTAATAGTTATTTGAATGCTAAATAGTTAACCTCTAATTTTTACTCTGATGAATGACTGCTTGCAGCAACTTATCATGACTGTGCAAGCTTGAGGGACTCCAAGGAGGGAGTGACTTAGTGATCAATAAGAAAGTCATGCGGCAGTTGAAATCAAATACAGTGGAGGAGGCACAAAGTCTAGGAATGTGCCCATCCTGACTCAGTCAAATGTTGTCCAAAGATATCATACTTTAGACAGTGGAAATTCCCAATAAGGAAACAAGAGGAAATGATATCTTGTGAAATGTATTCCTCAGAAGTTAATGCAATTGACAGCTTTCCCAACTTATTACACCTATTATGCAAGGCAAAGCCTTACATTTTGCAGCTCTCCTAATATCATTGTGTTCCATTTCAGAGCAAACATCATTAGCACATCAAATTCCCCAGTACACTATGCAGCAACTCATGCAACTCTTCAACATTTTCTGCCATCCCTTTTCCTTCTTATTCTGCCAAACATACCCTCCTTAACTTTTAGATCCATTTAAGTAATCATCAATCACAGACCAACTCAAATTAACTAATGAAGATGGCAGTCATTTACAACAAACTTAAGGCAATAAATAGGTCAGCAACTCTTACACCATTCATCAACAAATATAACTTCATGCTCATCAAGAAAGAGGAAAAAGAGCTGGTAGAGGATCAGGATGTCAAATATGTTCACATGGAGATGTTTCATGACTTGGAATAAAATTTTGTACTTTAGGTTTAAATTAACCATCACATCATCTTTATCAAAACAAACCAAAATTCAGAATTTAAAGGCAGTTTTTCAGTTTTATTATATATCATGAATTTAATTCATTGTTGACCATGTCATACATTCAATCCTAGTAGGAAGTTTAGGTAATATAGTAGAAACCTATAGCTAGTGATCATGAACACCACTTAGGTATCCAAGTCCTGCTGTAGTAGAAACAGTTTTTGAAATTGCCTTTAGTATTACCACCTTGTAACTCACAAGCTTCAATAAAGATACTCTTCAAATCTAAGATTGTGCTTGTAATTTTGCTAAACCTTAAAAGTACAGCTCTCCTTCACATTCTCATTTTTCTTCTTTCTCTTTGCTTTTTTTTTTATTTTTTTATTTTAACCTCCTTCTCTCTCTCTCTCTCTCTCTCTCTATAGTAGGGGAGGGATAAATTGAAGAAACGGAAAAGTGGATTTGAACGCAGAACTTCTAAAGTCCTGGAACCTCAACCTTAGCCACTAGACCAAGACCTCCTTGGCTTTTAAAAGTCCTTCATTTGTTCCCCCAAACACCCAAAAAAAAAAAAAGCAGGGCCAGGGTGAGATTTAAGAAACAGGGAGGATGAAGGTGGATTTGAAGGGCGAGTTCCTGGGGCCTCAACCTTGCCATTAGACCAAGGCCTCCTTCGCCCCTCCACTTTTTCATCTGAAAGCTTTCAATAATTTCTCCTAATCAATTAAACTTTAATCACAGTCCAACCCCACTCCTTCAAAGCAAATCATAAAAACCCAGGGGCTGTTTCATTATGGTGGAAACTGGAGCTCTGGAGCTCAGAATTCAAGGAAATTGAGCTTTAGCCTGATGACTAAAACCAAGCTAAGAAGCGTAGACCGGCTAATATAAAGAGTATGCATCATGTCAAAGGCGACCTCTTTTTGAGGTAAAATGTGAATAACCACAAACAGCTGTCACCATCATGCCATGTATCTACACAAACAATAATAATGGAATAACATAAAGAGTAATGTAGCTTTTATGTATTCCTATTCTGGCAAACCACTTCATGTAACAGTTAGTCCACCAAATTGGAGTTTTTGTATAAACGCTTGTGCTCTAAAATAGGCATCATAAGCAGTGAAGGAGGTGTAGAGTGAGGAGAGAGAAAGCAACATGCAATTGAAAGGTTTGCCATATTAGGCTGGCAGTATACTGAGATCAAAAGGCTTTCTCATAAAGGCAAGGGATATATTTACTCAAAAAGTGAGGCTTGTATCTAGCCATATCGTAATAGAGAATGATCAAATGCTAACATTTACTTGTTTGTCTCCTTATTTATTGAAAGACACGTTAAATATGATATGTCCATACCTCCCTAACCTTTCCACTCTGTGACCAACTAGGATAGTTACATTAAATGAAGTTTCATACTTGGGATTTAAGATTATTCAGATAAATTTTTGGAATCATTCACTATGGTACTTTTTGAGACATTACAAAGAAAAGGTAATTGAAATGTGTTTTAGTAGTAACCAAATATAAAGTTTCCAGAATAATTACAATCCAAAGACATATTTATTTTAACAAGACAAAAGGTTGCTCCAGGTTTCTGGTGCATCAAATTCAAACAAAGCGCGAGAGTAGTATTAATAAAACCAGTTTTGTTTTCTGAACAATTATTGAAACATTAAGATAGTAGAAACCATTCTTTTCTTTCATCCCTGGATAATGATAGTATGACTTGCATGCCATGCTTCTTACAAATAATGAATTCAAAGCAGTAAACAAACCAAAATTCTAATTATATGTCACGAACACAGTTATATTTCAACATGCCGGTTCAAACCTGATTCAACCATGTTTAAGAATTCAAAAGATTGTTGATCTTCTCGATACCTTGTTTGTCGTGCTTCTGTCAAACTTGACTCTTGTTTATTTGTTTTTTCACTATAAAATTGAATGCCTTTTAGATCAATGAGCACAGCTATTGAAGTTCAAATTTGAGATTGCTTCATACGCTCTAGAACTAATGTCTTTGCACAAGATTGATATATCTAACACCAAGACAATAGACTAGCTCATTTCCAGCAGATGATAGCGTCCTTAAAGTTTCTCAACAAAACCCTGTTCACTGATTCTAGCCAAAAGTTGGCACGATAAGTCAGAAAGTCTTCATAGTGCAAAATTAATAGCGTAGGATACTAGTCATGCATGCTTCTATGATCTCCATAACAAATCCCCTAATGCAACTTTAGTACTAATTCCTGAATCAGTTACTTTTTTAAGCTTCAAATCTCTCTCTCACAATTTAGCCTAATGTCAGCACTATAAAGTTATGGCCTTTCCAATGCTTGTTGTAGTGAACATGAACCAAAATTATAACTTACAGTGAAAGGAGTAAACTTTTGTTACTCTACAAGGTACAAAAAACTATCAACTCATTTCCACCAACTCATATCCACCCACAACCTATTACATCAGGCACCCCTAAACATGATAACAGCATGATAACTTTAGTTTTGCAGATTTTAGTTTGGCATAACCCATGCATGATAACTTTCTTTCACATCATCGATCCTGAAAAGAGTTCATATTAAAACTAATTTTCTGCAAACATCTATTACATGACATAAATTTCTCACAGAACTCTCCTTACCGCGGCAGTTATTTTTGATTCCAGAAAATTCAGAGGCCATCTTCTAAGCTCAGTTACTTCAATAGGTGGTGGTGGTGGTCTCCAAAGAATAAAATATGGAATCAGACCATATGCACCTGCAAAGCCTGAAAGAATGAGGAAGGGCCAGACAGGGACACTCCTATTTTCACTGCAGCATCAAAGACCAGCAGATATAAGAATCAATCAACCTCCATATATCTTGAAAAAAGTTAAAGCACAAATTAAAAACATTGTGCTTCCCAAATTCTTATAGAGTCCTTTCCCGTGTAACTCTTAGTTGCATTCAATTAGAAAGGCATCGGTGTGCGACATTATCTTTGAAAATAGATGTGTAAAGAATATGACCAGGGACTCTAATCATCACCTGTGTTAACTTTATACAGACTTAGAGAAGTGAAAATACAATTCTGAACCGCCTAGCTTCTATCTTAAGGTATCCAAGCACGAAGTAAACAATAACTCAGAGGCATTATCAGTAAACTTAAGCAATACAAGTCATCAAAATTACCATCGGCCAGTCGGAAGCAGCAACATACTGTACACAAACGGATACAACCCCAAGATATACCACAAAGCCACTAGCACTTCATTCATTTGGAAGCCATCATCTCCTATTATATTAACAAGCTTTTTCAAGAAATACACATCTGTCGACTGCAAACAATCATCAAAGTCAATAGTGAAAATAGGGCAAAAGATGAGCACATGACACCATAGAAGCTTCTACCTTCTCCTCCTGAAGCATCAGGTTGCCATGATAAATAATAAAACTCCCAGTATTTCTTTTCCTTTTTCAAAAACTCCTACTAATTTTATTGCTGATTGGGAAATCGAACAAATAACAACTGAAGAAGTTGGTTTCAATCTTAAAGAAAAGCCCAATAGCCAATAACAACACAGTGCAATTGCTTTAAAAAGAAAAAAGAAATCCATTTTCTTGTTCCTCAGCTCTCATTTCGTCTGACATCTAAGACAAATTAACCAACAAAGTCTTTCTTTCCCCCCTCTTTTTTTATTATTACAATAACCAAAACTTTCAGTAGTTATTAATCAAGAAGATAAAAAAACATATCAAAGATTTTTTTTCCCCTTCCATATAATAAACTACAATACCATACCGGGGTTTGGTTTGGTGCTAGAAAGACAACATAGTACACAAGTCCAGCATAAAGTCCAAGGAGCAACAACGACGTCGTCCAGTCCCTTTCTCCTCCTCCTCCTCCTCCTCCTCCATTATTTGCATCATTCTCCTCCTCCAGACAAATTTCTTCATTTTCCAATATGGGATTTTCCGGGTTCTCTTCCGTGCTCAATGAACTGTAACACCAAAATGAATTTTGCAGTTTCTGCAATGGCACCAGTTTTATGCTGCCGTTGATTCCAGTCTCATCTTTCCAATTACTATTACAGCTAGTACGAGTCCTACAGTGTTTTTCATAAAATCTTGTGCTTAATTTTATAACAATTGGGAACTTTTGCTGCTCAGGTTTAATGGGTTGCGGAGATGGAATTTTCGGAGGAGCATGATTATGTCCATGAACTGGGAAATATGAGAAATTGCAAGAATTGAGGTTGGTGTTGGCTAACATAACAACCTGCTCGAAGCTTTACCTGCAGAAAATTTTGAGGGTGCTAGTCAAATATCAGGGTACCGGGATGTTTTGCTGTATGCATAAATGTTGTCTGGTTATCTATTGTAGCCTACAATTGTATAACCCACAATTTTATATCTTAATTATTAGAGCAGGTTTGTGTGGTAAGTTTGGTGGAGATTTGTGTTCCTACCAAAAAAAAAAAAAAGGAATGTTTTGGTGGAGATTTTTGTAACTTTGACATGCAAATTGTATATATATTTTTGGGTTAATTGTAATATGCACCCTTCAATTATCCTGCAATTGGCCTTTACTCCCTAAACTTTAAATTTCAGCAATTTTTTGCAATCCACAAAATTTCAACGGGTGAAAAGATGATTTGCTCCCTTATTCTTCTTTAGTCCCAAAAATACCCTCTTCTATCCACATAACAAATACACAAAATTTTCACAATGTATTAACTAAAAGTTAAGGAGTTTCAAATGCAAAATAAAAAGAAGGAATTTACACTTGTAAAATTTAGCTAGGAGTGTGCATCAAAATCAAATTCAATAATTTGGGAGAATGAAATTGGTAGTTTCGATAAATTGTCTCTGGAAAATTTCAAACTAATTCATTTTCAAATTTTACATTTTTTATTTCAATTCCGTATAGAAATGAAATCGAAAAATGGTATTTTACCGATTTCACCGAAAAAGAATTTTGAGCCAAAAACAAAGAAGAACGATAGCTATGATGTTCAAACTTGAAGCTTTAGCTTCTGCCAACATTGAAGAATTTGGCTTTTCGTTGAGAACCTTCAAACATCATTAAATTTGGCTTCACTAGATTGAAAGTTGTGGAGGCCAATTGTGGATTTGTCCACCTCGGCAACCCCGCACTCAAGTGGTACCAGGACTTCAATCCTAACATCCTTAAGGTGCGGGGTTCGAATCCTGGGGAGGCCCCATCCGGTACCATCCTAACATCCTCAAAGGTGCGGGGTTGCCGAGGTGGACAAATCCACAATTGGCCTCCACAAAAGTAAACCAAAACATGAAACCACCAGATTGAAAGTAAACTAAAGCATGCAACAATGTCAATATAGTTGACACTATGACCACAATCGGCACAATCTACAATTGAATTAGGGAAACATAAAATTAGGGCCAAATTTGGCCATAATTAAAAAAAAGTTAGAGGAGATGGGAGTAAGAAGTGATCGGACTGGTACTCATTGAGAGATTAATACTGCTAGATGAGAGAGGAGGCTCATAACTAGAGAGACAGAATGAAAAGATGGCCAACAGCAATTGAGGAGGAGGAGTGGGAAGTTGTAGAGAGGGGAAGGAAAGGGACCAAGTGATAATTGAGAACGGAAAGAGCCGCTGGCTTTGGTAAACGAGAAATGAAAGAGATAGGAAGGGGTTTGGTAATTTTGTATGTGTTTTGATTATTATAATAATTTTTTTATATATGGTGCTTATACAGCTATACTATTATACGTCTGACATACGAAACTACGGATGTGAGTTCGAATTCGGAAATTTTGAAATCATAATTCCTAATAGCAAATTCGAACCAATTTCAAGCATTTGGAATTCGGAATATCCGATTTATTGAACAAATTCCATTTTACCAATTTTGAATTTCCAAATTCAATTCAAAATTGGTCTGTAAATCGGTAATTTTTGTATTTGCTCACTCCTAAATTTAACTGGCTAGTAATTTACGCTTGTAAAATTCAACTGCTCGAGTGAAGTCCGAAAATTTCCATCAATGCATATTTGAGAACATAGCAGTAGCAAAACCCTATTTCCTCTCTCTGCCATCAAAACCTCATCCTAGAAAATACACAGTAGCATTACCATCCCTCTCTTCCCCAAGCCTCGTCTCTCCCCTCTACTATCCTTGTCTTCTCCCTATCCCAGAGAAGAATTTGGTCCCCCAGTACAACGTTGAGGAGTAGAACAAGAACAATGGTGACATAGAATTTATTTTTTGAAGGATAAAATTGGATTTTGGAGGAGTTCAAATCAAGATTTATTGATGATGAATTGATATAAAAAAATTGGTGTTGATAAAATAAAAAAATAGATTCATTTTTGCTGTAAGAGGAGACGACAATATTGGTGGGTTTCAAAAGCTACAGTGTTGTTGGCACAATTGTAGTGGGCAAGATTTGATGATGGGGTATTTTTATGATTTATTTTCTTCTTTGTCTGATATTTTTGGTTTTATTTTGTGTAATGAATTTTAAAAGATAATAGTTGTGGTGAAATTAAGAGCTTACGATGATGGTACGGCTGTTGAAGTTGGCATTTTTTATTTTTTTTCTTCTGATGTTTAATTTTTAAGCATTTTTTTGATGAATTTTTGCTGTTAATTTATTTGATTAGTATAGTTTTTGGAGGCTATGATATTGTTGGAGTTATGCTGGTGAGTTTTTAACATAGGATAATTTTTAATTATTTTTTTTGGTGTTTGGTTCTCTTTTACGATGAATAGGTAATAGTGGTGATTCAACCATTGAAATTGTTTGTTTCTTTGTTTGTTGAGTTTTTAGGTATTAATTAATTTTTTAAGGAATTCTTTGTTTATACGAAAAGTTTGTAAATAGAAGGAATTTGACTTTATTGTGAAGATGAATTTGAGGGAGGGTAATTTTGGAAAGTAAATTAAAAATCGAGGGTAAACTAGTATATTCTGTAAAAGAAATTAAAAGTTGTAGGTTGTTGAATGCTAAAATTCAAAGTTTAGGGTATAAAGTTTAATATTAGAATAGTTGAGAAGTTCAAACTACAATTAATGCTATATTTTTAAAGAAGCTAAAATCCTACGTATCTTATCCTATGTTTTCAGAACCGGACCGGGTATCGACTCAGTCGAGGTCAGGGGTCAGGGGTCAATGGGTTCGACCGGAGGTCGATAGGGATCGAACCGGATGACGTCATAAATAAAAATTATTTAAAAATTAAAATATTATATATAAAATATCTAATAATATGTTAATATTAATAAAGGTATATTCATATATATTTGATGTTTCAAATATATTTAACAAGAAAATAAAAAGAAATTAGAACAATCAAGTAGCAATTTATGTTATTTAATAAATATTAACAACTTTAGAATTAAAATTATGAATTTAATTGAAAAATAACATCAAATTTTAGGACAATATTTATAAAGTATGAAATATTTGAGATATATTAATAAGTTCTAACAATTTAGGGGGCCAAAACATAATATTGAAAAGATTGAGTTTTTTTTTTAAAAAAATGCCCATTGAACCGGAAAAACCGGTTTTTTTCCGGTCAAATCCAGTTTTTGACCGGCTTTGACCGGGCTTTAAATTTCCGATTTTTTACCATGACTCGGACCGGACACTTGGCCGGTTCCCGGTTCGACCGGCCGGTCCGGTCCGAGTTTCAAAACAGAGATCTTATCTTATCTTCCCTCAAGTCCGGTCCGAGTTTCAAAACAGAGATCTTATCTTATCTTCCCTCAAGTATAATAAAAAGAGAAGGGGGTTACTGTAGCAGCCCAAAGCTTGCCACATGGCTCTCCTTCTTTTTGACAAGTGGCATATTTCATGATCTAATTTCTTTTCTTTTTTCTTTTTCATTATTTTCCTCTTATTTTCTCCTCCCTTTTTGACCAAGACAAAAATTTACACAAATCCTAATGTGCCGCTGCTTCATCCCTTCTCATCCTATACCTCTTTACTCGTTCCCACGCTTTACACCTTTCTCTTTCAATGTTCTTTTTCTAAATGAGGCGAATTTACTAACATATGTGAAAACTCGAGAAAAATTATATGTATGCTATGAATTTCTTTTATTTTAATTATTTCGATATTAGAAATATTATAACAAAAAAATTGTTAAATTAAATGCCTAATTGAATTTATATAAAAATTGAGAATTTAGAAGAAATATCCTAGAATGGTAAAAAATAAATAAATAAATAAATAAACATATGATATGCATATTGTAATTTGAGCCATTTGAATACATTATATAGTTGAATAAATATATGCCTAATTAATTTTCTTTAAAACCAAATGTGTGGGAATTTACTGGATCGATATAAGGGAAATTGTTTTTTTTTTATAAGGTACATACAAATTAAAACAAACGAAACATCGAGACAAAATTACGGACTTGTGGTAACCAAATGAACTAAAATGAAAATACTAAACTAACCTTGGAATTTTTGGTTAAACTACTATGCAGCCAAAGAACTAACCATCAGGAATTTATAGGACAAACCGAGAGTTTGAGGAATTGAAATTGAATAGGGGTTGGCCAATTAGCTACCACACTAAACGGTGGAAAGGAAATGAGTAGAGTTTTGGCTGCTAGCTTGGGGCGGTGAATAACTCTCCTTTGGACAGCTGTTGGAATGAACTTGTTACCAAAAGTTGCTGAGTAAGCAGTGACCGAATGAGAGTTGGAATGATTAGCACCGAATGAAGAGGTTTGAGTGGTCGGCTGAGTGAAGGAAATATGTTCATTTCTCTTCTTACCAATCTAGTATTAGAAACAAAACTGAGGGAGAGTTTCGGTCACACCCATGCATTTCCAAATACCACCGAGTGAGAGGAAACAGAGAGACTGAGGAAAGAAAGCAAGAGTGAGAGAGAGTGAGAGCAAGACCGAGAGAAACTAAGACATATTTCTCTCATCTCCGTACACAATCAAAAGGGAGGAAAGGAAGCATTTCTGATTTTCTCTTGCTTCCAGTGCAACCGAAAGAGTGAGGAGGAGAGAGTTAGACAGTGTTAGCTGCATTCATCTAGCTTGTGACCTTAGAACCATGAGCTAAGAGTGAGTACAAAGAGATGAAACCAGTCTGCAACTCACGTATCAACTGCATCAGTGAGGGAACAGAGTGAGAGCTGGTGCAATCTGGAGTAACCGAAGCTTAAAAACTGGAGCAGTCTGCAACTGTTGAATTCTAAAGGAAAGGAGGTGAAAAAATTCTGTAATAAACCTTTACTTATTAAGTATAAGTGAATATATAAGTTGCATGTTAAGTTTAGCAAGGAAAATGAATTCTTGACCAAGGAAAATTCTGATTTGGGATTGAAAAGCTGTTGGACTGAAACTGGTAGGAACCGAAAGTTCATTGGTTAGAGTTGCAGCTTGTTAACAAGTGTAGAATGGAAAATAGCGTTGGAAATTCATGTAACATATATATCTCAAGTATTATAAGAGGTTTAGCTGTAGAAACTTGTGAAAAGTTGGAGATTCAGCAAGTATGATGGAACTGGAAATCCTAAAACGCATCTCAAGATGTTTGCCAACAAGTTAGGTAAGCCCATGGATGATGAAAATCTGCCTATGCGTCTGTTTCCAGAAAGTTTAGAGGGAGATGCTCTAAATTGGTATTCAAATCTGAAGTCTGAAGAGGTTAAAACCTGGTTGGATTTAGCAACAGCCTTTGTGAAGTAATATAAGTTTAATTGTGAATTGGCACCAACACGAACAACACTGGAGGGTACAAAAAGAAAGCCATCGGAAGATCACAAGACCTATGCAAAGCGGTGAAGAAAGTTAGCTGCCAAAGTGCAGCCTCCTATGATTGAGGAGGAGATTGTTCGTACTTTCATCAAGGCTCACGATTCACCCTACTTTGAAGAGATCTTTCGCATGACTGGAAGTTCATTTGCCGCCATTATTAACAAGTTGGAGGAATACGATGAGTTTGTCAAAGCAGGGAGATTGTTAATGTATCGGCATTAAAATTGTAATTAGATGCTCTACAAAATCAAAACAACAGTGGGAAAAAGCCCCCATTCAAGAAGAAAGAAGGTGATACTGCTTTTATATGGGATGAAGACCCATCTTTCAGACCCAGAAATCATCTTACCTATTCTTTTCCTTACCCGTATTACACCAACCCTCAACCAGTCTACCACACTACTACCCAATTCCATCATTCCCGACCAAGTTATTTGAATACCTCACCCTTACCTCCAATCCCACAACCTGTCTTTCAAAATCACCTTCATCCCATTTACCATTCCAGACCAACCCTGCAAAATAATAACCCTTCTCAAAATTCTTTTCAAACCAGTGGAATTCAAACTCAGAAGCAATTTCGAACTTTCACCAACTTGGGCCGACCTATTGATCAATTGTATGAGCAGTTAAAAGCAGCTGGAAAAATTGGCACTGTTCCTCCCAAACTCTATCCCAGAGGTCCTCCTGCCGGTTATGATCCGCATGCAATCTGTGCTTATCATTCTGGAATTTCAGGTCATACCACTGGCAATTGTTGAGATTTAAAACATAAGATTCAGGACATGATTGACTTTGGAGACATCCTTCTCAGAAGAAAGGGAGAGCAGGGACCGAATGTTAGTAAGAATCCTTTACCTGAGCATGGGAGCATTGTGGGGGTTATCATCATTGATGAAGATTTTGCCGATCCCACTCAATACATTGTAGATGAAACTGAGGTGTTTGGCGTGTTGGAAGCTGACCATGCGAGAATGAGAAAACTGTCGTCTGTTGAAAAGTCCATGACTAAGGATAATGTTGAGGAAAAGTTGAAATCTTTGGTATTTGAAAAGGAGGAGCTATTTATAGTAGAAGGAGGGCCTTCCAAGATTGACAATTCTAAAGCTCCTTTTGTTTTGGATCTACCATCTTTTGAATGGGATATATCAGAACCTATCATTCTTGAATTTTCGGAACAAATGCTTGTGAATAACTTGCAAGAGGTGCCATGGAACTACGAGGAGTCTATTCTATTGATTGGAAATAAAAAAATGCTTAAAGGAGGAGGGATCTACTATTACCCTGTCTTGGAGAATTGTGGGAAACTCTGAAATTGATGTTCAGTCCCGGGCTAAGGTTAAATCTCCGACGCCCAAACCCCTTGTGTCTGAAAATGAAGCTGTGGATTTTTTAAAGATGTTAAAGAGAAGTGAGTACAGAATAGTAGAACAGTTGGATAGAATGCCTACTCAGACTTCTTTTCTGAATCTTCTTTTGACCTCCGAGCTACACAGAGAAGCATTGCTCAAAATCCTGAACGAAGCTCGAGTCCCTAAAGATATTCCGGTGGATAAATTTTCTAACCTTGTAGGGAATGTACTTGTTGCTAATCATATCGCTTTCTCCGATGAAGATCTGACTGCAGAAGGGATCGGACATAACAGAGTCTTGTATATATCAGTCCGCTGCAATGGAAAGTTGTTGTCGAGGGTCTTGGTGGATAATAGGTCAGCATTGAATATTTGTCCATGGAACACTCTCACCAAGCTTGGATTTCTTGACATTAAACTCCACCCATCTGCAACTGTGGTTCGAGGATTCGATGGTTCAAAGAGAGAATCTATGGGAGAGACAGATCTGATATTGGAGATAGGCCCTACTCAATTCCAAGTTACTTGCCAAGTCATGGACTTCTCCAACGTTTACAATATTTTATTTGGAAGATCTTGGATACATGTTTCCAATTCAGTGCCACCTTCTCTACATCAAATGTTGAGGTTTATTGTGAATGATCAACTCATTACTGTGTTTGCTGAGGATGACTGTACCATGATCGTTGATGCAAAACTCAAAGGTGAAGACACAAAAAGAACTCCAATTTCATCTCATCACGTTGCTGACATCGTCTCTGTGGGATGGGTATTCAGGGATAAGTCGCTGGCTCAATCAGATTTGCCAGAGGCCAGTATTATAATGGCTAGGGAGATGATCTGAGGCGGATATGAAATAAGAAAAGGTCTTGGGCGGGAATTGCAAGGAATTTTGGAGCCAATAGAGATCCCGACGCAGCAGGATATATTTGGTCTGGGATTTCATCCAACTGCTAAGTATAGAAGGAAAATGCAAGCTCGAAAATAAGCTGAAAAGAAGGGTAAACAAACTGCCTTAAATGTCCCACCGCTATATCACACTTTTCCTCGTCCATCAGAGGTGATTATGCCAGAAACGAAGGATCTTGTGGAGAAAATTGAAGTGGACCTGTCTCAATTATTTGTCGGGATCACTTGTGAGGAGGAGCCATCAGAGAATGCAGAATTTTTGTCAATTACCGAAGGAGCTATTCAGAATTGGACTGCTGATTATCTTCCATCTCGAAGGGAATTTCGGTAAATTTAAGGGGATTGTCTTTTGTCTAGATCATATCCAGATAGGACGGTAGTCTGGATCTTTTGTTAAAAGAAATTGCTTTAATTTTTTGAACCTTTATTCTCGTTTTAGTTAATATAGCTTGTTTTGTTCAAGAAAATTGCTGAAACGGAAATAAAGGTTTGCGCTATATATGTCTTTAAATAGCAATCATGTCTGTATATTTTTCTTTTGTGAAGTCTCGATGCATTTTGAATTTAATGAAATGAAAGACTTCTCCAGTATTTGCTATTTATTTATTACTTATGTTCTATTCTATTTTCAGATGGCCACAAATAAAACCCTCTGACCCTTTGGATGTCACCATTTTGGAATTCGATGGCTGCAATCTCGATATCTCTCATGAACTTGAAATCATGCAATCTGAAATTCAAAATGAGAGCGATACTGAGGAAGAATTTGAATCCATTTCAAGAGATTTAAAACAGTATGAAGAGAAACCCAAACTCAACTTAGAAGAAACAGAAATCATCAATATTGGCACTAAGACGAAAGTTAAAGAAGTTAAAGTCAGTATTCATTTGAATAAGAAACATAAGGAGGAAATGATTGAATTTTTAATGCTATTTCAAGATGTGTTTGCATGGTTATATGATGATATGCCAGGGATCTTTACAGACATAGTGGTTCACAGGTTGCCAACTGATCCAAATTTTTTACCTGTGAAGCAGAAGCCTCGTAAATTCAAACCAGAAATGAGCCTCAAGATAAAGGAACAAATTGTGAAGCAGCTCAATACCAAGATAATCATGGTGTCTCATTATCCCATCTGACTATCGAATCCTGTGCTAGTGCCTAAGAAATCTGGGGAGGTGCGAGTATGTGTTGATTATAGAGATCTGAATAAGGCCTGTCCGAAAGATGATTTTTCTTTGCCAAATATTCATATTCTTTTGGACAACACTGCTGCACATGAGATTGAATCTTTTGGTGACTATTTTGCTGGATATCATCAAATCTTAATGGCAGAAAAAGACAGAGAGAAAACTTTTTTCATCACCTCATGGGGAACATTTTGTTATCGAGTGATGCCTTTCGGATTGAAGAATGTTGGAGCTACTTATCAGAGGACCATGACTACCCTGTTCCATGACATGATTCACAAAGAGATGGAGGTTTATGTAAATGATATCATAATTAAATCAAAGAGAGTCGAGGACCTAAAGAAACTGTTTGAAAGGTTGAGAAGATATAATTTGAAGTTGAACCCTGCGAAATGTGCTTTTGGAGCTCCAGTTGGTAAATTATTAGGCTTTATTGTCAGCAAAAAGGGTATAGAAATAGATCCTGCGAAAATAAAGGCAATTCGAGATATGTCCATTCCAAAAACTCAAAAAGATGTGAAAAGTTTTCTTGGAAAGATCAATTTCATTGGCCGGTTTATTGCGCAGTTAACTTCTACCAGTGAGCCTTTGTTCAAATTGTTGAAAAGGGATGCGCCTATGGATTGGAATGAAAATTGTCAGCAAGCTTTTGATAAGATCAAAAATTATTTGTTAAATCCTCCGGTCTTAATGCCACCTCAGCCAGGAAGACCTCTGATTATGTATTTGTCTGTTCTTGATGAGGCTGTTGGATGCGTTTTGGGACAGCATGACGGGTCTGGGAGAAAGGAACAAGCCATCTACTATCTGAGTAAGAAATTTACAGCATATGAGACCAACTATTCTTTCCTTGAGAGAAGTTGTTGTGCTTTAGTATGGGCAGCTCAGAAGTTGAGACATTATTTGCTCGGTTATACCACTTACCTGATTTCGTGTTCTGATCCTCTACAATACCTGTTGGAAAAGTCGATACCCACGGGACATATGGCTAAGTGGCAAATGATCCTTTCCGAGTTCGATATTGTCTTCACAACACAAAAGACAGTCAAGGGTCAAGCCATAGCAGATCATTTGGCAAAAAATCCAAGAGATGATGATTACCAGCCATTGCATACTTACTTTCCTGATGAAGAAATTCTGTTCGTTGGAGCAATTGAGGACATGAGTGAGCAGTATCTTGGATGGAGGTTATTTTTCGATGGTGCGTCACATTCTTTTGGAGCTGGAATTGGAGCAGTTTTAGTATCGCCTGAAGGGAAACACTATCCTGCTACTACCAAATTACGGTTTCCTTGCACCAACAATATGGCTGAGTATGAAACTTATTTTTTTGGATTGAAAATGGCATTGGACATGGAAATCAAGGACCTGATAGCATTCAGTGATTCTGATTTACTTGTGCACCAGACGCTTAAGCAGTGGGTAACTCGTGATTCAAAAATTATACTGTATCATTGTAATTTGCTTAGCTTGGCCAACAAATTCAGAAATTTGGAACTCAGACATATTCCCCGCACTCATAACGCTTTTGCTGATTCTTTAGCTACTCTGTCTTCGATGATCCAACATCCAGATGAACTGGTGATTGAACCTAGACAGATTCAACTTCAGAATAGGCCAGCGCATTGCCTGGTTACGGAAAGGGTCTCTGATGGTTGCTCCTGGTACAATGATGTTAAGAAATTCATGAAAACGGGATCCTACCCTCCTGATGCTGATTCCATTGTAAAAGGTTTCATACGCAGAATGTCATCAAGATTCTTCTTGAATGGAGAAGTGTTATATAGGAAAACATCTGATTTGGACCTTCTAAGATGCATCAATGAAGATGAAACCGATTATATGATGAAAGAAGTGCATAGTGGGGTTTGTGGGTCACACATGAATGGGCATCTTCTGGCCAAGAAGATCATGAGATCAGGGTATTTTTGGCTTACTATGGAGCATGACTGTATAGATTTTGTCAGAAAGTGTGTCAAATGTCAGATGCATGGTGATGTTATACGTGCTCCTCCTACAGAATTGCATAGTATAACTATTCCATGGCTATGTTCGATCTGGGGAATGGATGTGATCGGAACTATTGATCCTCTTGCTTCAAATGGGCATCGATTCATCTTAGTGACGATTGACTATTTCACCAAATAGGTTGAGACCGTGTCCTATAAGCATGTGATTAAGAAAGTGGTGTCGAATTTCTTGAGAAATAACATCATCTGTCATTTTGGGGTACCAGAGACATTGATCACCGACAATGCCAAGAACCTCAATAATGATATGGTGGATGGATTATGTGAACAGTTCAAAGTCAGGCATCGAAATTCTGCCATTTACAGGCCTCAGATGAATGGAGCCGTTGAAGTCGCAAATAAGAATTTGAAGAAAATCATTCGTAAGATGACTGAAGCACACCGGAATTGGCATGAGAAACTGCCTTATGCCCTGATGGCGTACAGAACTACCATCAGAACTTCTACCGGAGCGACTCCTTACTCTTTTATGTATGGAATGGAAGCAGTATTGCCTGCAGAAGTTGAAATTCCTTCCTTACGCATTTGATGGAAGCTCAGATAGAAGAAGCTGAATGGGTCATAGAACGTCATGAGCAGTGGTCTCTGATTGATGAAAAGAGGTTGAATGCCGTCTGTCATGGACAATGTTATCAGTAGCGAATGGCTCGAGCTTACAACAAAAAAGTTAAGCCCCGTCTGTTTGAAGTCGGAGATAAGTCTTGAAACGGATTCTTCCAATGCAAGATGAGACTAAAGGGAAGTTTGCTCCCAATTGGTAAGGACCATTCATTGTTAAGAAAGTGCTATTCGGAGGAGCGCTTATCCTTATGGAAATGGACGGTCAAATTTTTTTCCAACCAATTAATGCAAACATGTGCAAAAAGTTTTTCATTTGATTAAAAAATTTTTTCTTTAAATAATACTGTAAAAGACGGATTTTAGGCATACTTCCTCTCATCTTTTCATTTTGATATACTATTCCTAATTTTTTTCTTTCAACTTTTCAGAATCACCTTTCTTTTTCACTTGGCAGTCCCTTAAGACCACTAACCCCATACTGGGGCAATTTTGTTAAAAAAAAAGAGAAGAAAAAAAAGGAAAGAAAAAAAGAAAAAAAGAGCGGAAAAAGAAAATAGAGAAGTTCGGTTAGAATTAAAATGGGGCAAAATTTTATCTTTTCCAACCCTAGATTGGAGCAAGTTTTTGAAAGAATGTTATCTCAAATGATTACAAACCCATCATATGATCCGCTGTCAAACCTTCCAACCCTTAACCTTTCCTTTACTACTCTATCCGATCCTACTCACAAGAGCCAAAATTGTCAACTTTCATCTTTTGCAGTATTTTGGAGAAAATTTTTCTTAGTCAGCTAGCAAATGATGTAAATACAACTTTTCTGAAATATGTTAGAGAAGATTGTCTCACTGATGCTACTCATTATCAAATATGATTGAATTGATACAATTGGGGTTAAAATTGTCTTGTTTATGTCTCTAGATGAAAACCTGAAAGGGCACCTTCTAAAAAAAAAAAAGGGAAAAAGAGAGAAAGAAAAAGAAAAAAAAAAGAAAAATGAAAGAAGGACAAAGAAAACAAAAGAAAAAGGGGTGGGGGTAACCTTAGTGAAAACCCGAAAGGACGCTAAGGTTGGGTTTTGGAATACAAGAGGATCAGCAACGAAAAAGAAGATGTTGAGGTCTGAAAACCGGTGACTATGTTGATTTGGGTCTCTTTCATATTGTTGTTCTTTTGCTGACAATGAATTCCAAAATGGATGACATCTAAGGGGGTAAGATGGAGCACTTTTCTTCATCAAAGGCCGTCCTCTGAATGTGTATCCAACTTTTGATCCTTGGATCCACGTTCATAAATTTAACAATTTTGTTTTACTATTCTATTTACTATTTTATTCATTTATTATGTATCATTGTTTATTTCATATCAACATTATCGCATGATGCATAATACCTTTTTCAATTGTTTATATTCTTCATTTATTGGGTTTTGTTCAAAAGACAATCCTCTATAATTTATTTCAAAAGAGTCATGAAAATTGAAGGTCCGATGATAACAAAGTCTGGATGATTGACATTTGACAGTTACAAAGATTCTGAAGAGGTTGCCGACTGAACCTAAGGAAGCAATTTGTCAATATTGAAACTCATGTTTACATGGTTCTCAAGGCAAAAGGATCACATGGTGGTGGCAGTATTTTCATCACAGTTGTTTCTTTGACTTTGTTCTTGTTTGCAGGAAAATTACGTGACACTATACTGATTTAGTTGAGCATAATTCACACTGGGGCAAATGGCAGAAGGATTGAGCTCCAAGTTTTGCTGTACATTTTTGAAGAAAGAAAAATCATTATTCCCTTTCTTTTAAAGTTCGAAAAATCAAGAAAAATTGTAAGTCCACCAAGTAAGTTTGTCTTGCTTTATTACCTTTTGAACAACATGCATTCTGATCATTCAGTTCGATAGCATAGAACTTGTGTTTTCAATTTTTCCGCTAGTTATTTGAGCTCGAGTTTAATCCCACCCATTATCTGGGTTTCGAGCATATTTTCATTCTCTTGACAAGCATCTGGGTTTGGATTCAGTCCTATTAAGCAATCCAAATCAAAAAAAAAATCCAATTTAACTTTCTGTTTGTGAGTCTCAGCATCCACCGCGCATCCTTCTATCCCCCTTCTTGACAAATTTAATTTCTGTTGGTGAGTCTCAGCGTCCGCCGTGCACCCTTCTACTTCCTTTCTTGATAAATTTAATTTCTTGTTAGAGCGTAATTGCGTCCCTCCGCGCATCTTTTTCAAAAAAAAAAAGAGTCAAATTTAATTTCTTATTGGTGAGATCTTAGCATCCACCGCGTCCACCGCGCATCCCCGCGCACCGCGCACCCTTCTACCTCCCTTCTTGATAGATCAAATTTAATTTTCTGTTAGTGAGTCTCAGCGACCACCGCGCACCCTTCTATCTCCCTTCTTGATAGATCAAATTTAATTTTCTGTTGGTGAGTCTCAGCGTCCACCGCGCACCCTTCTATCTCCCCTTCTTGAAAATTTAATTTCTTCTTGGTGAGGTTTCAGCGTCCGCCGCGCACCCTTCTACCTCTTTTCTTGATAAATTTAATTTCCTGTTGGAGCGTAATTGCGTCCCTTCGCGCATCTTTTTCAAAAAAAAAAAAGAGTCAAATTTAATTTCTGTTGGTGAGTCTCAGGGTCCACCGCGTACCCTTCTATCTCTCCTTCTTGAAAATTTAATTTCTTGTTGGTGAGGTCTCAGCGTCCGCCGCGCACCTTTCTACCTCCTTTCTTGACAAATTTAATTTCCTGTTGGAGCGTAATTGCGTCCCTCAGCACATCTTTTCAAAAAAAAAAAAGAGTCAAATTTAATTTCTGTTGGTGAGTCTCAGCGTCCGCCGCACACCCTTCTACCTCCTTTCTGGATAAATTTAATTTCCTGTTGGAGCGTAATTGCGTCCCTCCACGCATCTTTTTCAAAAAAAAAAGTGTCAAATTTAATTTTTTGTTGGTGAGGTCTCAGCATCCGCCGCGCACCCTTCTACCCCCCTTCTAGACGACTACATTTAATTTTCTGTTGGAGCGTAACCGCGTCCCTCCACACATCTTTTTCTAATTATGACAATATACTTTTCTTGACTGTTTTGATTAATAATTGTGCTTTCTCAGTTATCTTGTGTTTCGTATTAGAAGTGCTGAGAGTTCGGAATTTTTCGACTTTGCAAAGATCACAGAAGGTCAATGCACATGTTTTATTGTTGTTTACCGGTATTTGAACTACGTTTGACCTGATTCCCATGGCGGGATACGTAGGCAACTCTACATGAGTTCAGTCACGTGTTTTGCAATTTCATTACATCTTTTGTTCACTAATTTCAGCCAAGTGTTGCTTTTCTTTATTTTAACTCAGGTATGGTTAGAAGAGACAAGTAAGCAATTTGGTGTCTACGTCTTTGTCTTGAATTTCTTTAAAATTTTTGACAAAGAAGGGCAAGCTGTAGACACCAAATTTTTGTCAAATTTTGTGTTTTCTTGAATATTTTCTATTTGATGAGCAATTTATTTTCTTGCATTTTTTAAGTATATTTTTGTCTCATTTTTGTAGATTATCTTTAAAAAAAGAGAGAGAGAGAGAGAAGCCATGATTTGAAGAAAAAAAAACCAACTAAACCCATTTGACAAAAATCCCTTGGTTCCCTCCTTATTCTCGGGGACTGACAAAAAAGGAACGACACTTTTGGGGCTCAAAAAAAAAAAAAACTACTCCCTTAATTCACTCTCTCGGGTCTCACAGACAGGAAAAAAAAAAAAGACAAGCAAAGGAAAGAAAATGACTCCACTTTATCTGATCTCCCTCTGGTCTCTCTACTCTCTCACTCTCAACTTCTCCCAAAACACTCCATCAGAGAACTAAAAGAAAAAAAACAATTCCAACTCTCCCTTGGTTTCGGCTCTTTCTCCCTCTCGCTCTACACACAAAGCAATCATCAAAAGGAGCCAGGAAGATACGCTCAAGGTTTGGAAATTGTATCAAAACATCTTGGTCAAGAGACTACCACCTACATTGAGGTATTTTCTAGTTTTTTTTTATCATATTACATCCATGTTTCAATGTCTAGTTTCTTTTGCTTTTGTTGGTTTTATTGTTGTTGTTGTATATTAATTTCTCTTGTTTGCTGGTTTTTATTGTTGTTATTGTATTACTGAAATTTGGGAAATGGCATGAACTAAACTGATGAAAAGGCAATGTTTCTTATGCATGCATATTAACCGTTTGCAAAATTGCCGAAATAGAAAAACGAATTAAAGAGTTGAATACTGTGCATGTTGTTGTCAAAACAGATGACCGTTAGTTAGCCCAAGGCCTGGAAATGTTTGGCTATCTATTTTTTTTTTTGTGGAGTTTTGAGATTTAAAGGTATTGCATTATTCTTCTTCATTTGGGGGCTGTTTTGATTTATTTTAGCCATTTTATGTTGTTTTCTTGTCCAACTAAGACTATAGTTGTAATGTTGAAGTTACAAGGAGGGTTTTAGCATAATTTTTATTATTTTTGGTGAAGATTATGTTGTTTTAAAAAATAAAAAATTGGACTGACTTTTTGCTATTTTGGCCACTTTCGGATCATCTTTTGTAAAAATTAACTTCAAAAACGGATTCTACGCGAAAAATCGAATGAAAGGGTGTATTTTGGTGAAATTTGGTGACCGGAGAGGTTGCCGGCCGCGGCAGTCCAGTGGCGGCAGCGGTACCGGTGGCCACCATAGCCGCCAGCCAGAAGGGAGCTTTCAACTCCTCGATAGAGAAGAAGGGAAGGAAGAAGAAAGAAAAAAAAAGAAAGGAAAAGAAAGAAAAAAAAAAAGAAGAAAAAAAGAACGGGCGAATGTTTTTTTTTTCTGATGGGTTTGAGTTTATTTTTTTGGTTGGGTTTTGGTTTATTTCTTTTGGGTTTCGATTGGGCTAGGAGGTCAAAGCCCATGTATTTTTTTTGGTTGGGTTTGAGTGATAAAAGACGGCCTGGCCTGTGT